GATGTCCGACCGTTGGAGGGCAAGACTTCGGCAGAGACTTCATCAACGAAAAGGAAAGGCAACAAGGACAACAGCAAAGCTCCCAGGAACTCTGCTCCTGTGAGAAAGACAGTCATGAAGAAAAAAAAACAAAGACAAGGATACTTCAAAGCCCAGCTCTTCTGGTGACTCGGACGTGGACTGCATCTCTACGATCTACTTCTCGAAGCGCTGGCTGGAACAACTCACTGACTGCATGGAAGGGCGGAAGTGGGAGGACTTTGTCGCACATGGCAAGGGCAAAATCTTTCACTTTGAGAAGCATGGTCTGGAGGAAATCCCTGAGGAGTGTCACTTCCCACTTCGCATTTGCATTTCGACTCCAAAAGAATCTGCATCAGAAATGGAGGAAGTACCGCAGGAGGAACCTGAGGAGGAAGTGGAGGAGGAACCGGAGGAGGAACATGATGAAGATGAGAAGCCAGGCTGCTGGGGGAAAGTGCCTTACATCCACCCGGACCAACAATGCCCCCCCTAAGAAGCGGGGTCGCAAGCCAAAGAATAAAGACGAATCCAAGACTGTGAAAAGCAAAAGCAAAACTTCAAGGAAGAAGACTGAGAGCAAGATTGACAAGAGTGAAGTTAGTGCATCAAATGTCTCCAAGCCCAAACCGAATGAAGAGAAGCGCAAGAGAAAGTATAGTAAGACACCAGAGGAAGATGTGGACACTTCGAAGAGCAGTGCAAAGGGACAGCGGAAGAAGAACCCAGAAAGCAAGAATGATGCTGCGGCAACAAATGACTCTGAGAGCAAGAAGACAAGGGCGAAGAGGAGCAGGAGAGAGGATGACAAGGGCGAGGATGAAAAGAAGAATAAGACTGAGGCTGAGCCCAGGCAGCGCCAGGGCAAACGGAAAGCACAGGCAAAGAAAGCCCCAAAGTCAGGCAAGACCAAGGCCGACGCTGATGAGGATGTTGATGAGAAGGACATTGACCCTTCGAGCTCAGCCAAGCCAAAGCGGAAACCTTTGTCCGCTGAGGCCAAAGCCAAAGCTAGCAGGAAGAGCAGCGCATACCACAATGCGTTTCGCAAGGCAAAAGCTGAGGGCAAGAGTCAGGCTGAGTGCAAAGAAGCAGCATCCAAGGCACATAGTCTTTCACTTATATATGCATGAATGCTTTCTCAGTTTCTATCTTATGAGTCTGAGATCTGCTGCATGTATCTTTGTGTAGGCATATGCAGCTACCAGCTGATACTTCCTGGACAAGAGCCGCAAATAGATCGGGGACCTTGACAAGTGAAGTGTCGGGATCTGTGTGTTTGAGATTCACATACCTACTTGGCCTGACAGTGCCAGGTTTGTCGCCACACCACGTGGCATTTCTTTCTTGGGTTTGGGTGTATGTGAGGCTAGTTGACACGCAGTGGACCCTGACAAGACACGAAAAAGCCAAAACCATAAACCTTCTTAAGGACGGCACTCTGCAAACAGCACATGTGACTCTTGAGAGGTGTGCAAAT